TACTCCCTGTTTCTTTTTGTGACGAGATTAGCGTAGGTCACTAGACAACCCATTGAACTAGGATCCAGAATACATTGGCCTCACCATGGATTTACCAAAGAGGCTGAGTAAATCCACTGTGTCTTCAGCCTTAGTGGTTGCTTCTGGTCTCTGTGGTCACACATACAGGATCTGTGCCTGTGCAAAGCAAGCTGTCAAAAAGTAAAAGCTTTAAAAGACATCTCCAGAAGTTTCCAAGATGTTCCTCTTGCAGGCATAGATCCCGTGTGTGTGACGGCAGAGAAGACCCCACGAAGAACATCAGCTTACAGGTAAGCAGTCTGTCTTTACTGATCTTTAAAATCTGCATAAATAATGGTTAGTGAATGACTGAGAGAATGATGCTACTTCTTGTACCTGGCTTTCAGTCTGGTTTCTTTTTTATTTCAGCTTCGTTCAGCATTAGACAAAATGGAAGAACTTGAAGTAAGCAATGGTCATCTAGTTAAACGGTTAGAGAAGATGAAAGCCAATCGAAGTGCTTTACTTTCCCAGCAATAGATGCCAGCTTTTGTTGGAGACTCCTTGACTGACGACAGTGCTGCAAAGGCTTGTGTCTATAACTGTTTGGGATGCTTTGTTTCATGCCTTCTGAAAGCAACAAAAATCCAAACACATGAACCCATTTGCCATGTGCCACCATACTGAGGTTCCGCCTACGCAGATTCAAACCTGATGCATTATATGCATAAAATTAGCTGCTCCAAATGCCTGTCTTTGTAGGTGCCCTTCTACACTATATTCTTGAAGTGCATGCAGTACCTGTATGCCATCTAACAAGCACACTGGGCATCCTGCCAGCAGTTCAGCCTGAAAGGCATAGCAGCTGGCTGTTGGCATCTTGAAAATGATATGGAACGTAAGAAAGATTAAGTGGCAACTTGAATTTTCTTTATTTCTGAAAATCAATGGGGAAGATGACAGACTTTCGCACAGACGATCACACTTCCCTTTGTGGCAGTGTCTGCAACTACAGGAACAGCGATAGTGTTTTCATAGCAGTCTTCATTTACAAAACACTGTGGAACCACAAGCCATTACAAAGCAAAACTCCTTCAATGGAAATCATGAAAGAAGATGGTCTTGGAAGCAAAAGTGACCTTAAATGACTTTGCCAATAAAAATAGAGGTTATGGAGGGATTTTTGCACCTGTTCAATCATAAGACTATTTTATTTCAGGGTCAATAGGCAATAGCTTCACTTTAAAAAAGCTACAGCTTTTATTTGTATTTAATCTCAGTATTTGGAATCTAAGTGAATTACTTCTTTTAAAGGATGTAATCTTGCAAAAAAAATAAAACTGCAAACCCGTGTTTTAAAAAGCAGCATCTCCTTTTGTTATATGCACTAGTCACTCAATACTAAATATAAATCAAATGTGTGTTGTGCATTGTCAGCCTGTCTGCAAAGGCCTGAACTGTTGGCCATTTTCTGAACAGAATCTCATTCTCCTTGGAAGTAGAATAGCAAAAACTGTGTCTTTCAGGGTCTAATAATCAGTAGCTAATGAGGCAAGGAAATGGCTCCAGTAACAGGCTGAGACTCCAAAAAAAGTAACATCCATAAGTGGTACCAGAAACTTCCTCTCACACTGCTTTTCCCCCCTTAACTTCTTAACTTAACTAGAACCTGTCTAAATTCAGAGATAGGTTGTGGAATCTTTCTTTTCAATATTATTGATTGACTACTGCTGGTTAGGGGGCAGGAGGAAGTGTTAAAGGAGAGGTTAATGTATTCAATTAGGTAATAAATACAGTGCAGGTTCTGTATACAAGAATTTGATTCCACATCAGTGAAGAAAGTGTAAGAAATCTAGGCTTTTTGAAGGAAATTACTCCCCTGGTATAAAAGAATTGCGTGAATTGCATTTTTGTCCCTCACCAAATAGGGAGCCTGTGGGTTTTTTCTTTTAATGATTTCGAGACTTTAAAACCTTGTTTTTAATTCAAATGTTAAATGACTTTTGTGCTAAAATATATAAGCCTGAATTGTATAGATGTGTTTCCTGAAAGATTATTTTTATATACACACTTGAAATGGACTGAATTGGTAGAACTGGCTACAGAATTGTCCTTGCAGTACATTCGGCTGTATGGCGAGTGAGCTGATCTACATGTATGTGGGTGTCTTAATCACACTCCTCTTTATTTGGCCTTGACATTCCATTCTCTGGCTACAGTAGACAATACAAGCTATAAATGGACCGACTATCTGGAATGAGGTAATTTTCTATGCTGGAGCAAGAATCTACGTTAGACAATGTAATTCCCCAGAACGGGTAATATGGGAGGAGGCAGGAGACCGATTTTCTATTTATAAACAACAGACCAAATTCAGTAACATTTCCCCCCAATTTTATTGAAATAAACTTTAAAACAGTTTTCAGCACTACTATGTAGTGTATTAAATTTTAGGGAGCAAATGACATGATAAGTGCAAATGAGTGTAAGGTAGCATGAACCCAGGGCAGCTGTCTACCAGCTCCATCTGGTACATAGGCTGAGACCCTACCTGCCCGAAGACTGTCTCGCCAGAGTGGTGCATGCTCTAGTTATCTCCCGCTTGGACTACTGCAATGCGCTCTATGTGGGGCTACCTTTGAAGGTGACCCAGAAACTACAACTAATCCAGAACACAGCAGCTAGACTGGTGACTGGGAGCGGCCGTCGAGACCATATAACACCAGTCTCGAAAGACCTACATTTCTAGTACGTTTCCGAGCATCATTCAAAGTGTTGGTGCTGACAATTAAAGCCCTAAACGGCCTTGGTCCCGTATATCTGAAGGAGCGTCTCCACCCCCATCGTTCTGCCTGGACACTGAGGTCCAGCACTGAGGGTCTTCTGGCGGTTCCCTCACTGCGAGAAGCCAAGTTACAGGGAACCAGGCAGAGGGCCTTCTCGGTAGTGGCACCCACCCTGTGGAACGCCCTCCCACCAGATGTCAAAGAGAACAATAACTACCAAACTTTTAGAAGACATCTGAAGGCAGCCCTGTTTAGGGAAGCTTTTAATGTTTGATGTATTACAGTATTTTAATTTTTTTTGGAAGCCGCCCAGAGTGGCTGGGGAAGCCCAGCCAGATGGGCGGGGTATAAATAAATTGTTGTTGTTGTTGTTGTTGTTGTTGTTGTTGTTATCCCGCTTCTGGTGAGACCAGTAGAGATGAAGAAGCACCATGGGATAGCAATTAACTTGTTCATTGCACACCCATTTCCCTGCTCCCAATTCCCCCAGTGCCTTCCCTTTCCTTATGGTATTTCAAATGCATTCCCAACCTGATGCCCTCTAGATTTTTTGGACAACAACTAACTCCCATCAGTCCTAACCAGCATAAAAGAAAACCAAGCTGGGGAAGGTATGAATCACAGAATTGTAGAATCGTAGAGTTGGAAGGGAACCCAAGAGTCATTTAGTCCAACCGCTTGCAATGCAGGAATCTCAACTAAAGCATCCCTGACAGATGGCCATCCAACTTCTGCTTAAAAACCTCCAAGGAAGCAAAGTCCAGCACCTCTTGTGGGAGTCTGTTCCACTGTCAAACAGCTCTTCCCACCAGAAAGTTATTCCTAATGTTTAGCTGGAATCTCCTTTCTTGCAACTTGAAGCCACTGGCACAAGTCCTCCCCTCTGGAGCAGGAGAAAGCAAGCTTGCTCCCTCTTCCATGAGACAGCCCTTTAGATATTTGAAGATGGCTATGAAATACACCTTCAATAAAAATGCAGGAAATGAGCAAAATTCTTGTAATAGTGGAATCAACAACAGAAAACTTGTAAGTATATTGATTTGTTTTAAATATGAAATAAATCAATGGTATAAATTTGTGGAATCTATTATCCCCAGGGGGGCAATCCAGTATCATGAACCTATGTAGGTTACTGCACCGGTGCATAGCTTCTCCCATAATTATGCTTATTTCTTAAATCTGAACTTAAATGCAGTATCTTGATTTCTCACCATATTATGCCCCAAACTAAAGTTGATACAAAAGAGACTCGTCAGTATTTTTATTGCAGAACCATCGTTATAGAGCTGGAATAATATATAATAGCAATAGATTCAGTTTTTGCTACCGTTCATTCAGCATCTATTGGATCCACCTTTGAGCTGGAGACTCTGAGGCCCAGTATTTATTGCATTTTAAGATCACAGCTGGGTATCTGCCTGATGTCCACTAGATTAACATTTTTGTGTCTTCAAAGTTTAATTTCACTTTTGATTTTGTATATCGCCTTTCTATATTGCTATACACAAGGTTTACAAGCTGAAGAAACAACAAAATATGCAACGAAGATCCAGCACCTCTTACAACAATCTGTGCCAATAAATTACGTTAAAATAGGCTTCTCTAAATGGGACTATTTTTAGTAGGCAAACAAAAGGGTGCCTTAAACGTGTTCCAAAGGGAGGTTTCATTATTTCATAAAAATAGAATTAGTTCCCCCCCCCTCATTCTTCATTGTGAACTATTTGTACAGATTAGATAGCTAGGCAGACAAATGTTTGCGTGTTTCAATTCTACTGTTCCTTTTTAAACGACCCCTTTCCCTAGCTATCTCGCGCGTGTTTTTAGCCGTTTTTCCGTTGTGAAGCGCCTTAAGTCCTGTCAGGAGGAAAAGGCAGGGTAAGGAGAAATGTCATAATACCGCTTCTATTATAGGGAGAAGCGGGGTCGGGGCGGGGCAGAGCTCTGGGGAAAGCGCTTTGGGCACATTCTGCGGAGCCCGCGGCCTCTGGGCAGCCAGGCTGGCAAGTGAGGCGAAGAGGAGGAGGAGGAGGAGGAAGAAGAAGAAGACCGGGGCGGAGGGGGCGGGGCCAGGGGGCGCGAGGCCAATCCGCTGGCGACCAGCGTCCCGCGATCAGCCAATGGCGGTTTGCGGTTCGCGGAGAGGCGGGCGCGCGGGAGGGACGGCGCTTCAGTTGGCCGAGGGGGCGGCACCGGGCGGGCGGCGGCGGCGGCGGCGGCGGCTTCTGGTGCTGCTGCTGCTGCTTCAGCTTCTCCTTCCTCCCGGTTCGTGAGTCCCGCGCCTTCTCGCCTCAGCCGCCGGCAGCACGTGCGCAGGCCGGGCCGGGGCGCGAGGGGCGGCGGGTCTTCCCGGGGGTTGCGTGCCCCGGGCGGCATGGAGGGCGCTTCCTGGGGGGGGGGAGCAGAGGTAGATGGAGAGAGAGGGGAGAAAAGCTGAGCTGCCTTCCTCGTCGGCCTGGGGGCTCCGAAGCGGGGGCCGGTCCAGCGTCCCTCAGACCTTGGGGGGGGGGGGCGGACTGTATTTTGGAGGGGGGGGGAATGAAGGAATTCCTCTGCCCCACAAATAACCCGAGAGGCATTTAAAATAAAAGCGCACCTTCTACTCATGCAAAAACACGCTGATTCCCAGACCAGAAGGCGATTGGGCCGGATCCGGCCCCCGGGCCTCCGTTTTCCCGCCCCTGCTCTTAAGGCTGCAGAGCTGAACTGCTGCCTAAGGTCTTAGTCGACCCTTCCATGAATTCCCCATCAGTTGCAGCAATTGTAATCCCCTGTAAACATCAGCAAGAACTTTCTCCCTCGGGAAATGGAGGACTCTCCTCCTCTGGAGGTTTTTAAGCAGAGGCTGGTCGGGCATCGGCCATGGATGCTTTGGCTGAGATTCCTCCATTGCAGGGGGTTGGACTAGATGACCCTCAGGGTCCCTTCCACTCGATGCTGTATACTTTTTAATGGCACATTTATTGCTTCTTTTCTTGCCTAGTGCTTCACTGCATTACAACATGAGTCCCATAGAAGTCGAATTGAAAGGCAATATGATAAATAAAAAAGTAATAATAAACAGTTAATCATCAATATGAATATTTAATGTGGGCAAACCAAGGGCCCACCTGATTGACACTTGTGGACCTGCTGGTGATCCAGGGACCATAGGCTGGGAACGGCTGCCCTAAGATGTAGTAGGAACTTTAAAGATACTAGTGTATGAAAGCAACCATGTTCCAAGTTGTACTGCAAAGGCCTGGACTTACACACTGCCTGTAGCATGGCAGGCACCTCTTAAGATTGAACTTTACAACCCAAGGTTTAAAGCCATACTATTTAAAGCCAACAAAATTACTAGTCTGTCTAATTGGCCACTACAGTTGAGCAAGCCCTCCTCTTTCTACAGTGGTACCTCGGGTTACAGACGCTTTGGGTTACAAACTCCACTAACCAGGAAGTGGTTGCTCCAGGTTAAGAACTTTGCTCCAGGATAAGAACGGAAATCACAGCAGCAGGAGCCCCATTAGCGAAGGAGCACCTCAGGTTAAGAACCGTTTCAGGTTAAGAACGAACCTCTGGAACGAATTAAGTTCTTAACCCAAGGTACCACTGTACAGTGGTACCTCAGGTTACATACACTTCAAGTTACATATGCTTCAGGTTACAGACTCCGCTAACCCAGAAATAGTGCTTCAGGTTAAGAACTTTGCTTCAGGATGAGAACAGAAATTGTGCTCCGGCGGCGTGGCAGCAGCAGGAGGCCCCATTAGCTAAAGTGGTGCTTCAGGTTAAAAACAGTTTCAGGTTAAGTATGGACCACTGGAACGAATTAAGTACTTAACCTGAGGTACCATTGTATAGCAGATGTAGGGAAGCTTTGGTATTCCAGAACTATAACTATAAACTCACACCAGTGAGCATGCCTAAAGGCCAAAGATGATGGGAGTTGTAGTGCACCAATATCTGGAGAGCTAAAGGTTCCCCACATTTGCCCCAAAATGTGTAGTCACACCAATGTTGGTTGCATGCTAAGTTTGTACAGGCCAGTGGGCCTGAATGAATTCTTATGTGAAATGGTAATGCTCATTGCGTCTGCAGCACAGCATCTCAGTGGCAGATGTGCAGGAGTTTCTTAACAGAAAGGATGGGATATGTATGGAATATGCTGAAATTGCTTGAGAACGTAGCTACAAAGCCTTCAGAATACTATCTCAGGCAGAGAATGCAACTTGCACAATTATGTTGAGTTCCCATGGAAAATCTATGGTGACAGTAATAATAATAATGAAATTGTTACAGAATAAACTTTATAGGGTTGTGATATGTGAAAATGCTCACTAAAAATAGGTCTCAGTGATGTCTGGTTTTCAGCATTGTGATATATCACCAGCTATTACAGATATATCATGATGTCTGAAATAAGGATGAAACTCTGTAGAGGTGAATGGGATAATGTCCTAGCAACTGCTATTACTTAGGGGTGTAAAACCGATCAGTTTTTACATATCTTTAACATACTGTTACAACTTATTTTATAGTACAGATAATATTTAAGTTAGCACATTTTCTCTAAAATATGAAGGGAAGCTATTTAGAGGGAATGCAACAATGTAAACACCAGAAAATAAACAGGAGGCAGGGGAGAGCTGAGGTGGCAGAGCAAGCAATGGTGTGGCAGAAATCATGAGAGAAGCGAGAGGCTTCACGGTTTCCCCCACATAGTGATATTTTTTTTTACATAGCACACATACACATCGTGATTTGTGATACATATTGCCACATCAAATGTTATGAAACCATTGCTGTGCTGTGGTCTTCAAACGGGTTTTGGAAGATGTATCAATACATCAAGGGACGCGGGTGGTGCTGTGGGTTTAACCACAGAGCCTAAGACTTGCTGATCAGAAGGTTGGCAGTTCGAATCCCCACGACGGGGTGAGCTCGGTCCCAGCCCCTGCCAACCTAGCAGTTCGAAAGCACGTCAAAGTGCAAGTAGATAAATAGGTACCGCTCAGTGTGGTGCAGTGGTTAAGAGCGATAGACTCGTAATCTGGGGTACCGGGTTTGCTTCCCTGCTCCTCCACATGCAGCTGCTGGGTGACCTTGAGCTAGTCACACTTTTCTGAAGTCTTTCAGCCTCACTCACCTCACAGAGTGTTTGTTGTGGGGGAGGAAGGGAAAGGAGAATGTTAGCCGTTTTGAGACTCCTTCGGGTAGTGATAAAGCGGGATATCACATCCAAACTCCTCCTCTTCTTCTGGCGGGAAGGTAAACGGCGTTTCTGTACGCTGCTCTGGTTCGCCAGAAGCGGCATGACCCAGAAGCTGTACGCCGGCTCCCTCGGCCTTTAAAGTGAGATGAGCGCTGCAACCCCAGAGTCGGTCACGACTGGACCTAATGGTCAGGGGTCCCTTTACCTTTATCAATACCCGGCCCTGCTAAAGAACTTCGAGCATTCTCTGCTACCAAGAATTAAAAGAAATTTGCCTTAGACATTAAAGTATTTTTATGTTGCTTGACAGTAGTCAAGACCTAAATAGCTGCCCACCATCTACCTGCCCAAGAGCCACTTCACATGTCATTAGCAAGCCAGTTCTGGAACTGAGGTTTGCTGTTTAAAGAGGGGAAACTCAACATTATGCTAGGGAGTTAGTCCCATTGAACTGAGTAGATATGCATATCTTTCACTGTTGTTGCTTTAGTTAAGAGGTTCAGTTGACTGACCACCAGGATTTAGTTAACCCATGAGTATGTATTTGGAATGTATAAGAGATGTATTGTACTACTTTGGATTATTTAACCATTCCTTTTTATATTCATGTCTATTTTGCTTGCTTTCCAGGAATTATACTCTCACCCTGTCATACGCATGTCTAAAATATGTCATGGCACCCTCCTTTTAATGAAAAAGCATACATTCAACCTCTGTTTGGTACAAGGCCATGCTTCCCAAGAGATTGTTCACTTTATGGTCAAGTCCCATATTCAGTGGCACCTTTCTGGTTTCACCCAAGAGTGTATGTGCCTATGCCTGTGGCTGTAGATGCATCATATCCACATCTGGTAGTGCCTTCTTCCACATCTGTCACCTTTAAATATGGACAATTGGAAAACAGTTACTACAGATATGCTACTGCTGAAATGAACGGCTGGGGAATTCAGGTTTTAGAAAAGCCAAATACTATTCATAGCTTTTCTGGTGAGTTAATTTTACTTTTCAATAGTGACTTTTTTCTTAGGGTTTTGTGACTATACCGTAATTTGTACTGTGAGCAATCTTAATTAGAAAATAGAGCTTACAGTGAGCAAAAAAAGTACCGGTATTTGATCTACTGCTAAATTTGCCTGTTTGCCCTCTGATGAGGAAATGACCAGTCCATAATTTTAATGGTAGGTTTATTGTAGCTGTGAGAGACAGAATAACAACAGGAAAACCCCCAGAAACCCAGAAGACAAAAGTCAGAGATGGATGTGCATTATAATGAGTGAAATAAGTATTTGATCCCCTATCAACCAGCCAGATGTCAGCCTACCTGGTATCGTCACTGTATGTAACGAGCTGAGATTAGAAGAGCCTGCTTTAAGGGAGAGGTTTTACCTGTAATCGCAGCTCGTTACAGTACCTGTACAAAAGACACCTGTCGACAGAAGCGATCAATCCAGCAGATTAGAAGTAGCCAATAGTAGACAAAGGATGAATGGTAAGAGCTTTTTGACAGTGGAATGGTCTCCCTTGGAAGGTGGTGGACTCCTTCCTTGGAGGTTTTAAAGTAGAGGTTGGGTGGTCATCTGCCATGGATACTTTAGCTGAGATTCTTGCATTGCAAAGGATTGGACGAGATGACCCTCAGATCCCTTCCAACTCTACAATTATATGATTCTAATTTGTTTGCACACAAGTTTTAAAAACCCATTTTGTTACATTTGTGTCACTTAGTTGACTTATGAAGAGAAGTAGTTTTGGATTTAGGGAAGATCCACTGGAATCCATTTTTGCTGTGCTTCCCATATTTACCATGCTTATTGGGTGTTGATGGGGTAGGGCAACTTTGATTTGTCTGTGATATTGGTTAACCAAATGCAGCTTTTTAGTGAGTTTCTGGGATGTGTGTTACATGATGATTTAATATTTCTGTGGTTCACCAACTGGGTATGGTACTACTTTTTTGAGACAGGCAGAGTCTTCTTCCTCTTTTCTTATATGGTATAAACATGGGGTAAGTGCTCTTTAAAGGTGTTGAGTATCATCTGACTCCTCCCCCACTTTCCCATCATTCCAGTTTAATTTGGGTAGAAATGCTGCTTGTTCCCGTAGTATTTTTCTGTGTGTGCCTTTAGAAAGTGACTTACTCAGTTTCCCTTCCTGGTATCAAGCTGTGTGGGATGATTCATGTATACAGTTGTGAATTGGTAGATGCCAGGCTTGGAGTTAAGCAGAAGGTGGAAAACATTAAGAAATGGGGTGGGTGGGATGAGCAAGAAAGATGCAGTATTTCAGCTTCAGTTTTATATGATAAGAGCATATGATAAATTTGCTTACTACAGTATAAGTAGCCTGTATTTGCTTTGTTAGTGCAAAATAAAATGCTTCACTACATCAGAGGCCCTGCAGCTTCAGGTCTGGCAAATCATAGAGGGACTGAGCCCTGCAAGGGATCAAGGGTGCTCTGGATCCCATGGAGACAAACAGTGTTCAAAATTTCCTGGGTACCAGGTGCATTTTGCCACTGGCAAAATTATCTTTATCTGGTACACTGTCTAATAACAAATAGTCCGGTGGACTTTAACATTTTGCTAAAAAATTCTAAAAGTAAAAGCGATAACTATTCAAAGCTAAGAATTTTTTCCTAATCAGTGCCAATCAATGTACCCTTTGTCCTAGTCCACTGCCTTTCTTCTGTTTCCTATGTACCTGTTTCTTCTTTCCAAATTGAGCAGTCACTGCCAGTACTCAATTTTTTCACTATGTAGGATAAATTTCGGTTAGAGAAAGAATATTGAAATATGCATTTGGTATTTTGTCTAAATAGGTGAAAAAGCTGTTAAACCCCATCAGCTACCTTCAGATGGTTCTGAGGAAAGTAAGCTCAGTGAAGCAATGCTTGTTGCTTCTGGAAACGATTCTGACGTGGGAGCCATGGAGCAGAGAGAGAGTGAATTTGAGAACAATTCTCATACATCAACAGTCTTGAGTGCACTCCATGGATCAGAACATTCTGAAAAAAATACAGTTAATGATATCTCTGACTTTTGCTTGAATCTTGCTAATTGCTCCTCTTCATGCCAGTCATGTTACATAAGTGCCTCAGAATTAAGCGTATCAAAAGGAAGCTTGCCTTATTTTAGTGCATTGCCTGATGAGGAACTGGAATCTGCACATAAGGAAGGTGAGGGAATGTCCATTGCACTGCCTAATGTAAGTGAGACAGATATGAACTTGAATACTGCTGCAGACTCTTCCTACTTAAGTAGCAATCAAAATGAGGAGTACAAATGCAGAGGCGTAGATGATTCCACACTAGACTGCATCGGACTACAAGATTGCATTGGTCATCAGCCAGAAGCTTTTCAGGACAAGGAACTGTCAAATGAAAATCAGCTTGCAGATGCCCTGTGTCCCATGAACAAACAAAAAGATGAGTCTCCTACTTCAGGTTGTAGTATTGATTGTGACTGCTACAAATACAGCAAAATACCAGAATTCCTCCCGACTTCGCAAGATAGCAAATGTGACACACAAGGCAAAGGTTTGAATTTTGATGATCAACCAGGAGATGAGACTATTAGTTTGCTCAGTAGTATTGTCAATAAACATTCAGTTAGTGCTAAGGTTAATAATCCAAAATTATTCTCAGGGAGCAACTCTAAAATTTATAAAAATATGAAAACAGATTATCTTTCAGGTAGTACCCTGAAAACTGGAAAGACACATGTATTGCAGCAGGAAAGAAAATGTTCCCATGCACATACCTCTAGCGGTGATACAGAAATTTCAGATTTCTCTGATTATGAAGCTGTAGTTGATTCTAAGAAGGCAAATCGCGCATATAAAGCATTTAATAATCAGAGTGCAATTAACCAAGCTGTTGATGCAAGTTCTGATTTTAGAGCTTGTTTTACAACAAGCAGAGCAACTAATGTCAAGGCTTCTGTAGTGTCCAGAGGACAAAATACAGTTATAACAATGATGAACAAAGAAAGGCCCAAGCAGTGGCTGAGGGATTCCGTCAGAAGTGTTGCCTGCAATACAGATTGGTCATGCATATCTGACAACATGGAGATGACTACCGCACAAGCAGCAATGGATGAAATGTTGGAAAACTGTATCACTAGTGACAAGGTAAAACATGGGGGAGCTTGTGGAATTAGTTATTATTTGAGGCATTTCACTATGTTTTTCTAACTACTCTGTAAGGCAGACCATAATTGTATCTGCTTCCTACTTCAAGGCCGTGTGCCCACCATTATCAAGTTAGGGGGCATAGGTATGCGGAAACATGTTGCCAGGCATGTGTTTGTCTTCCTATCTGGGTAGGCAGTTGCATGTACAAGTGGACAGCCAAAGCTCTGAATCCTTAGGCTTTGAGTTTAACTCACGTTTTCTGAGAAACCTGTTGGCTAGAGCCCCAGAAATCTTTGCCAGTCAGGCACACTCTTAATCATGCTTCTAGACTCTGAGAGACAAAATGTGAATAGCTGGTTCACAACATTGGTAGCATTGGATGTTCATAAGGTGCAGTCATAAGGCACCTTTGGAATTTCTCCATAAGGATTAGTGTGCAGCCCACACCTCTTACCTATATGTTTGCAGCATTTGTAATGCCCCCCCCTTTAGCCAAAAAAGCAGCTTACAAAAATCAGTTGTGAGATAGTCCCTGCCCTCAGGCTCACAGTGTAAAGAGATAATGAGGCAGGAGGGAAAGAGAGGCAAAGAAATTAGGCAAAAGCAAGCTGAAGCACAAGTTATTAATGGTTCCAGTTCATAAAGCAGTTCTGGCTGCCTTGCCCTTGATAAAGATCAGTACCTACCCTGCCGCACTCTTTCCTTCCCAGATCAGATCCAGGGGCATCATCTGCAGGGCATACATGCTGGTGTACAGAGTACAAATGCTGAAGAGCTGCAGCCAAGTACAGCTCGTATATGTTTCTGATTCCTGTAGGACAATCCTTTTGTTTGTATTCCTAACTTAGGAAGCCAATATAATATGGCTAGACATGCAAAATTCTGGATTCTCTTATTGAAACAAGGAGCATTCTCAGTGTGTGTTACTTAAGGTTTAGGGACTTGCTAGTTAAATCTGATTTACAACTTTAGTTTGTCAATAAAACTTACTAAAATTGCTATTTCTAGGATCTTTTGGAATGGAAAAATAGCACTAGCAGAGACTTAAATGAAATTCCAAGCAGGTATGATACACTTTTTAAGTGATTTTTACTACTTCTTAAAACTTAATTTCCTTTGAGGTTCTTAAAGCTCCACCAGCTGGAATCTGTGGTTACATGAGGGAGGAGGGAGGCAATTTTGCCAACTCCCCTGCAAAATATTTTTTATTAATTTTCAAAGAAAGGTGATTCAAGATTCTACAAATAACAGTGTTAACAAACAGGAACTGATGACAATATACATACCGTATTTTTCGCTCCATAAGACACACTTTTTTCCTCCTAAAAAGTAAGGGGAAATGTTGGGTGCGTCTTATGGAGTGAATGGCGCTTTGCAGGAGAGGTGCTGTGCAGAGAGGGAGAGCTGCGCAGCACTCCTTCAGCGAAGCGCCTCTCCTGCAAAGCGAGAGTAGGAACGGAGACCACAAGCAGTACATGAGCATCATAGCACCTCTAAAAACTAGGTGCGTCTTATAAAGCAAAAAACACGGTAGTCCATATACAATTACAGCTCAGTGTCAAACAAATAAAAACATTATAACCAAAATAAATAAACCACAGGTATGTGAATGCATGGAAGATAGTGATTAGAACTATTTATAGCATAGACATAATTGTTAAGCAAGAGGTGGTTATAAAACATGAACCCTGTTATACCAAGGGAAAGTATTTAAAGTATGCAAATATCCTGAGTCACTGGATCAGCCAGAATTGTTTGTGGGCTGAATGGAGGTCCTTGGCCATTTTTCTCCTAGCTTACAAATGAAGTAAGTCAGACCAAACAGGTCCAAAGGTGTCATTTTATCTTTGATCCCTAAGGACTCTCAACTTAGTCAGTTTTTCCAGCAGGGCACTTTCCCACTTTCACTCCATGAAAATTGTCCCCCCCCCTTTCCATTGCAGTTTCTGGTTCGAACTGCCAGCCCTTCTAAGAAGGAGCACCCTGAGTCCAGGCTGGTGAGAATTAGTATGACTAGAACTAGGCCATGAAAATAGAAGGCTAGCTGAGTAAGAATGTTACTCACCTTGCTGTTCTTATTGCTGGCGAAGTAAAGGTAAAGGTACCCCTGCCCGTACGGGCCAGTCTTGACTGACTCTAGGGCTGTGCGCCCATCTCACTCAAGAGGCCGGGGGCCAGCGCTGTCCGGAGACTCTTCCGGGTCACATGGCCAGCGTGACAAGCTGCATCTGGCGAGCCAGCGCAGCACACGGAAACGCCGTTTACCTTCCCGCTAGTAAGCGGTCCCTATTTATCTACTTGCACCCGGGGGTGCTTTCGAACTGCTAGGTTGGCAGGCGCTGGGACCGAACAACAGGAGCGCACCCCGCCACGGGGATTCGAACCGCCGACCATGCGATCGGCAAGACCTAGGCGCTGAGGCTTTTACCCACAGCGCCACCCGCGTCCCTTATAAATCCCTTATAGGGATGCAGGTGGCGCTGTGGTCTAAACCACCAACCCTCTTGGGCTTGCCAATTGGAAGGTCGCCAGTTTAAATCTGCGTGATGGGCTGAGCTTCCATTGCTTTGTCCCACCTTCTGCCAACCTAGCAGTCCAAAAACATACCGGTGCAAGTAGCTCTGCAGTGGAAAGGTAAATGGTGTTTCCATGCATTCTGGCTTCTGTCACAGTATCCTGTTGTGCCAGAAGTGGTTCAGTCATTCTGGCCAGGTGACCCTGAAAGCTGTCAGCCTGAAAGCGGAGATGAGCGCTGCACCCCAGAGTCGAATTCAACTGGACTTAACCGTCCAGGGGTCCTTCAACTTTACCTTTATAAATTCCTTATTTTTCTGGTTGGGAATGACTTTTCAATTGTTCTTTTTTGTTTTCTAAATGTACACTTAAGTAGAATCCCCTAAATCACTTTTGTTTGTATTCAAACTTAATATTTCTTTTAAAAGGATAATGCAGCTTTCTCAAGAAATAAACAACCATTTACCAAGCTGCTGTAAGGAAATACTGGAGAGAGCTATAAAAGCGGAAGTGCAGCTTTTAAAAATTCGCTATCAGATGTATCAACAGCACTGCTGGCAGACTTGCATTAATTCCATGGACAAAAAGAAATCTGTAAATGGGTGTGTATGAAATAGTTTCTGGTGTGGAAGGTGGGCTGTTAACTGGTTTGGGCAGAACACCAAATATGATTACTAATACAAACATTTTCAGTATAATCCATGCATATTTACTCATTGTATTCATAGCATTGTATTGTAAGGCTAAGAGCTGCTGTGTCTGAAAGTCAGGTAGGAGGGAAGAGTTGAGTTAAAGGCATAAATATTCTGTCCAGTGACTCCAAAGAAAGCAAACTACTCAAGCCTTTTTACAACAGTTTCAGAAAAAGTATTTGGAATAACTGTTTAGTGAGTCAGTAAGTTTAGCCTGGAGATTTAGGCATGAGGCTGAATGCATCTATATTCATGTTAGTATTTCCTTAGTTTTTCCTTTCAAATGCAACTCCTGCCATGTTAGAGTCTTCTCAAAAGCTCCCTACATTTTGGCAAAAAACTTCCTATTCCAGAGAAACAAAAGGATTCTGAGATGTCACTTCATAAGAGAAGTCACTAACTAAACAGCCCCTTCCCCTTATGTGGTTACCTGGAAAGAGAAAATTTGATGTGCAGTGCCTAGGCATCACCAAATAAAGGTTGCTAGTTTCCATGTGCTACATCGCTGCTCTGGCGAGCCAGAGCCGCACACGGAAACGCCGTTTACCTTCCCGCTTGTAAGCGGTCCCTATTTATCTACTTGCACCCAGGGGTGCTTTCGAACTGCTAGGTTGGCAGGCGCTGGGACCGAACGACGGGAGCGCACCCCGCCGCAGGGATTCGAACCGCCGACCTTTCGATCGGCAAGCCCTAGGCGCTGAGGCTTTTACCCACAGCGCCACCCGCGTCCCTGAACTGTAGGTGGGCACAAATGACAAGAGGAATTCCCTTCTCATCCAGGAGGTCTCTAGGCAACAATTGAAAAAGTGGGGACATAGGACTAAGAGCTATGCAGACAGTTCATGGAGCTCCTCTTTTCCCTACCTCACCTAGGATAATGCAATCCCTATAAACTGCTACAAAATCTCTTGTTTAGTCCATTGCTCAAAATTAGCCAGGCACATTTTGCCTGGGAGAAGTTACAGGAGTGTCCACAAACTTTTTGGATTTGAAACACATTTGTACGCTGCACATTCAATATGAAAATGTTGACTTCAGTAAAAAAGGCAATGTGCATCATTGACTTTCTCTCATTCCTTGGTCTCACCAGTGAACATCTGCACAGCCCTTTAGTACCTCTACACGGAAGGTTTTTGAGATTTGCTGCTCACTTGATCTTTCAGAAATGGTTATAACTCATTATCATACCTAAAGTATTTCCAAATTATATTAAAGGCAAGATTCTTTCTTCTGACACATTGAAAATTGAGGCTGTTTTGATAAAAATAGATGGGCTAAAATGTGCTTTCTATACCTCAGCAAATGCCAAATCAATGAATATACGTTTGATTATTTTTTCAGTTCTACCCTTGGGTCAGGAAAATCTGTGTTTCAGGTGTCATTGCCACAGAATATGGAAGTTTCTTCACTCCCTTTAGTAAGTCTTCTGCATACTTCATTACAACACTACCTTAAGAATTCTTTGTGAACTTTCAAAATGGTTTATTTTGAAGGCTGATTCTACATTACAACTTCTCTATTAAACATTAATATAAACCTGTTCTAGCAATGGGGTATAATATAGTCAATATAAAGCAGAACCATTATATCAGCCTCAAAAATAAACACCACAGGGCAGATTGCTCATTGAAGACTTAGTATATTTTAAGTGAGTGTGTACGCTTTCACTGTTTTGGTTAAATTTCTGTTTCAAAAAGCGTAACTTTTGTGTTTGGAAATTACAAGCTATTGTTGCATCTCAGAGAAACCCTGAGAGAAAGGGGTATTCCAAGATGGTGCTTCTCTCAATTGTGAAGCAGGAAATAACTTGTTCTAAAACTGGCCTGTGTTTGAAGAAGTTGGCACTGAAAAGCTGTCTGTTGAGCAAAAATTAAAATCTGTTCTTGTTTTTTAACTTTAGGTTACATGTCAAAAGAAGGATGGTGAAAACAGTAGCCCTGATTTGTCCCTTTCCAACAAAACCTCTGAAGAACAGAAATATGAACTTATGGAAAATAGTAAGTTAAACATTTTTAAATGCTGGGTGAAATTATTACATTGTAATTGGTTTGTCCTCTGAACTATACCAAGCATTAAATATGATATGCAAGTAGTTAAATACTCACAATTTTAAGTTCCAATCAGAATGTTCCTAATTGGGGAGTGGATTTGATTTCAGGCAAAGTGACACAAGGAAGGGGCACCACTAGTAGTGTGCCAAAATAACATAATGTATATCAGGGTGGATATGATGTAAGTCATTTTTTTTCAGAAAGACTCATTCTTGCTGGTATAATCTTAATATTTACAACCAGATGAAGGTTTCATTTTTGGAATAATACTTTTTCAGAGTAGTTTTTACAGTTATATTAAAAATTACTGGTTTGGTTATACTATTAGAAATACGTAGTTAATTATGAAATTATTGTGAGGTTTAATAAGTTAACTGTTTATATTTGGACAGCTTTTCTGCTGTACTTTATTGGAAGGAGAACAATAATCATTTCCTTAATAACAATTTAAACAATTTATTTAACTAAAACAGTAACATTATAGTATATGTATCCATGTTTGTTAACCGATGTGGTTAAACAATTAAAAATAATAATAACTTAAACTGAGTTTTAGCACACATGAAAAACTTAAAACAAATACTTATTTCTTGATGAATAGCCTTTGGACTATGATGTAACTTAAATAGAAAACTATCTTTAGAAAGATTTCCCCTCCAAAAGCATTTTATTTTAAAAATCCAATTTGCCGTATTTTTCCGTGTATAAGATGCACCCACATATAGGGTGCCCCCTATTTTGGCGGGGAAATTGCCCCGACTTGTTGAGCTTTTGGCGGGGGCGGGAATTGCCCAGAGGCTAACAGCCGCACACGTCTAACATGCCGCGTATCAGCTGTTCCCTCGCCGGCAATTGCTGACCTTTGGGGGGGGGGAGAGTGATGAAGCTTTTTAAAAAAATTACTTTTAGCTCTTTTTGCCTTTCCTGCAGGGCATTCTTAGTCTGCTTGCCTCTTCCCACTCTGCCTGCCCTACAGCTGGGAGGGAGGCTGAAGGCAGTCTGTTTCTGGGCCTGGCTACTCATGAGTGGCGCTGCAGTTGTAGGGCGGGCTGAGTGGGAGGAGGGGAGAGATATCTTTGATCACCACGGACAACATCGCCAATTGCGCGGCAGAAATCAGCCCGCCCAGCCCGCCCTACAACTGCAGCGCCACTCATGAGTATCCGGGCACAGATGCCTCGCGGCACAAACGGAACACCAGCAGCCTCACCCCTAGCTGTAGGGCGGGCAGAGGGGGGGGAGGACAGCAGACTAAAGAGGAGCTGTGGGAAAGCTGCGGAGGGGTGAGATATCTTCGATCACCACGGCCAACTGGAGCGGCAGCGTCACATGCACCTCATCCCAATTATCTAAGCAGGCAGTCACATACAAGCACCATACAGAACAAAGACTGGTAATTACTGAGTAGAACAGTGCATTTCCTTGCTATTTGGTTCATAGTCATAGTTTGCCACAATAATACATGGCTTATTGAGCCATATTTGTAGTGCTTATCTTAAATGTCAGATGTTCTTTATCTTAAAAAAAAATAACCCAAGCTTTAACTCACCGTGTTTGGATCTCACAGATTTAGTCTGTAGACATTGTAAATGTAGGCACTTGCATTAAGTTCAGATTTAATTTTAAGCTGCTTTTTTTTTAGAGAGACACCTGACATAATTAAAATCTTAATTAAAAAAAATTATTTTTATCGGCCCTTCAGTTGGTATAGATATTGGTATATGCTCTCCTGAACCCTGTTCAGCAAATTTTCTGTGTGTTTGGCAAATTTTAAAGACAAGGCTCTGGGGATGAGCCCAGGACTCCTTACCTTTTTTCTACCTGTTCTGAGCTTACCTCTGTGTTGTGTGTTTAATATTTACATCTGTTTCAAGGTTCTTCAGATACTCAAGAAATCAGTGAAGGCTGGTTTGACGCTACAGAGAACCTGACAGTAACTGATTCTTCGCTGCCACTTACAGATCAGTTAAGGCCAAGTGATACATCAGGTGCATGTTGACTGTATTAGTTTGGGAATAGCACCATAGGCGCCGACTCCATGGGGCTTGAGGGGGCTCGAGCCCCCTCAAAAAAATTTTTTGGGGGGCTCAGCCCCCCCAATAATCTCGGGCGCCGGGGGCGGGGGCTCCTGCCTCGCTGCTTCGCAGCACCACCGCCACTGCCAAGGCACTGCCGGGGGGAATTTCCTTCCTCCTGGCGGTTTCAGCCCCCGCGAGAACAGGGGAATCCCGACTGGCCACACCTCCCAGCCAGCCAATCGGCTGGCTGGGGGGCGTGGCTTGCCCTATTTAGGGCCGGAGCCACTTTATTTGCATATTCATGAGCTTATTTATTATTCATGAGCTTTCCCGGGCCCCCCCAGTATTTTTTATAAGTCCGCGTCCCTGAATAGCACTGATACGACTTCTGAGCTTTGGTTACCTTTGTTCCCACATGAATATCCACCATTGCACAGATTGAATTTTAGAAATGTTCTAAAGGTTTAGCTAGGTAGCTGGTGCTCACATCTCTTCTTCAAGGTAGGGGACGTCATCTCTAGTGTATGCAGATACCCTAAGAAACTGGGTGATATCCCCCATCTCTTGCGGAGAAGCTGGTAAAACGTGGGCCGGATGGTAACTCTTAGGTGGATTTGTAGTTTCTCCCCAGCCTTCCTAGGGGCCAGTTTGGGCTCAGCATTTTGAATCTTCTTGGTCCTTTTTGTTTCCTCTGCGTGTTCTTCTCAGCCTCCAGTGTCTCTCATTCTTCTACCTGTCTAAGGATTCTTCAGCAGCTCTGCCACAGGATGGAACTCAGGCTCTAGTAGGAATTGCATCAGCTTCCTTTTAAAGTTTGTTGCTTCTTGCCTTTGGAGCAGCAGGATGATTAGAACCTACTTGGATATCTCCTTGCACTCTACAAAAAAACAAAAAACAAAACCTTTTGCAGTAAATATTACTGTTTTGTTCTGGTGTATCACGTTGGTGTTTCATACCTGTGGAAAATGTTAAGGCAAACAAAGTGAAGTCATGTTTTTTTCAGGGGCACACATAGCATGAAAATGACATGCTTTCCCAGTCCTTTGAAATTTCTGAAACAGGTTTTTTAAATAATTTTCATTTTTATATTGAAGATGAAAAAAAATCTTAATTGCTAATTTTATTGTAATCATAAGTATACCTTGTAACGAGGAGCCCCCAATTACTGATTCCTGTAATAAATTTTGAGTTGGCTACTTCTTTTGCTAACTGGTTCTAGCACCCAAATCTACATCTTTGCAGGACATGCACCATTTTTTTTTAAAAAAAAGGAAAAAATGGCTTGTATGAGAGCTCTGTTTAACTATTCTTTTACATTCTGATCCTGAGCTGAACTTGTGAGTTTTTATTGCAAGAGCTCAGACACAAACTGTAAAAATAGAGCAAATGGAGATTTTTACAGTTCTAATCAAAGTCTTAGTAATAAGTCCTTTGCATTCTGGGAAACTGTGACCTAATGTATGACCATAAAAAGAATTCTAGAAGGTATTTTTTTCTTCTTAACTATTTCTGAATGCCTTTTCTGTCTTCAGTATTGGTGCTTTATTTATGCAGTTAAATTTCTTTTTCTTTTCAAAATATACATGCTGAGTTATGCATTATTGTTGTAATCTACCCTTCTAGAAACACAGACTATAAAAGACACAAAAAAGGAGCTAAAGAACATATATAGTGTTCATGTCGCAGATTTAGGTCCCTTAGTATCAGAGGTAAGTCAACATATATTTAAATATAATAGTTTATTTCACTGAAAGCTGTTTTTTAACCTGTGTCAGTGAAAGTCTTTTTGTCTATTTCAGGTTGATCTGTGGCTTCATTTCCAGAAGTATAATGTTTCTGAGATTTCCATTTGTGAATATTCTGCCAATTGCAGGTACTGTATAATATACTGTAATTTTTTTGCTTGCATGATTTCATAACTGAAGTACATTCAGTGAAAGACAGTAGGCCAGCACTTACTTACTTATGCAATCACAATCTTACACGGGGGATGGGGGGGGATAAATAGATAAATGGAGAGTTGGGGAAACCCTCTGCTCTCCATTTATTTGTTTTTGTGTGCACCCAGCGTGTTTTCCTTGGTTACTGGGCTTTGGGTCGGGAGTGAGCTGTGGCAGCATCCCCAAGCCCTTGCACTGCCTTCGCAAACCAGGTAAGCATGGCGGTGCCTTCTGGGAAGGAGGAGGGGGGGGCTATGGGAGCATCCCAGAGGCCAGCAAGAAAGGTGCTGCTTCGCTTCCTGGGGTCTGGGAAGCTCTTGGGGCCCTCGTGCAACCTTCCCAGGCCCTGGCAAGCAGCCTCCTGCCTCTTAGAAGGGCAGTTTGTGTTATTTTGCCTTTGCTTGCAAATCCCTGGAACCAAAGCCTCACATAAGTGGCAGGCCCACTGTACTTTTGTTATTGATGGATGATTTGCAGGATCCTAGGGATCTGTCAGGCTCTTTGAAGCCTTTCCCCCGTTCCCTCTTTTCCCGCTTGCCTTTGGTCTGTTGTGGGCACGCAGCCGACACAGCCATTACCTGGTCTTGTGGGCTGCTGGATGCTTTGCATTTGTCACTCCAAAGGAAACAAAAGTAGAATCAAAGCCTCAAAAGGGCGACTAAAAGCTATCTCTAATGTATAAAAGTAATCCTAATAAAACAATAACATTCCCAGTGAATTTCGGTTGGTTGCAGCCTTTCTCTGGGACACTCTGAGAATCGGATCTAAATAAATAAATAAATAATGCTGGTAATTACAAATGTAGGCATCAATTGCAATAGGACAGTTCATGAAATAAACCATGCATAGAATGAACCTTAAAACCTCAACTAACCATACTATACGCTAACACAAATGACATTAAATGTACTTGCTATATGCTGCAAGACATAGAACCATAGAATTGTAGAATTGGGAGGGACCCTGAGGATCATCTAGTCCAACCCCCTGCAATGCAGGAATATGCAGCCATCCCATATGGGGATCAAACCTGCAGCCTGGTGTTATCAGCGCCACGTCCTAACCAAGTGAGCTGTCCAAGCCTTAATAAAGCTCTGTAAATTTCTCATTGAAACAGAGACTGGGTAAATCCCTTCATGTGCACACCTCGTGAAAATGAACCTGGTTATAACATTTATGGAGCCTTTTGGGTATGAAATCCAGCCGTCCTGTTCCAGGGCAGGGCCATGAGCACAGGCTGCTCCTGTTCAGAGCATAGGTTGTGTGTGCCTGGCCTTGAGAAGGGGAGGTGTGACATAGTTCTGTCACTGCAGGCGGTGTGTCTGTCTATGTTGCCAAAGGCCTGTTGAGAGGGGCAAGAAAGTAAATGGGATTAGTTGATTCTTTTGCATAGGAGAAAGGATTATACCTCTTAACGTTTTGGCTTACAGTTGAAGAGGCATATTGGATAGCTCTTAAATTTTCCATTTTTCTTAATTTTGGCACATCTTTTTCATTCTAGATACGCTTTCCTTAGTTTTAAAACAGCCTGTGGTGCAAAGCTGGCAGTGAAAGAAATGAATGAGAGAGAAATAAAGGGGCAAGCCGTAAAGGTTCGTCTTGTAAAGACTGCAAAAGAAAATGGGCTCCCGGATTATCAGAGTTATGTGAAACCAGAGTATGAAAACAAAGGACCACGTTATAGCTGTGAAAAGAATAACGAAAATAGAAATAACTGCAATGTTATGTTTAATGCACCCACTTCCGCCTCAGCTGCTTGCAAAATGCCTGTCATCTCTTCAAAAGGGCCCAGTATCTCCAAAAGTCCTCTAAAGTTACCTTTCCCTTCAGCAAGTCCTCCCAGGCCTCTCTTGGACTCTTCAAAAGGGTCTCTTTGTGCTTCAGCCCCTTACAAAGTACCCAAGCCTGATCTCAAATCTTCTAAACTTTCATCAGAAAATGCACATCTTGAAATTGATCAAGAGGTAACTTTTTCTCCCTGTTGGAATGTATGTCAAAACATCTTTTAAATCACAGTGTGTGCGTTCTTCTTTTGTAAGGATAATACTGACTGCTTAACACATTGTTTAAGTGATTGGGTGCAGGCCATAGGATTGGGCGCTCCATTGTGGAGCAAACTGCCCCACCCCCACTGCATCTAAGCCACGGTTAACTTAGTCTAGCACCACCATTGATCACCCTTTGGGGTAAAAGCAGGTTGGTGTTGGGGGGGGGGAATGCAGGGGCTGCTGCCGCCTTGTCACTTTTCTCCCAGCCTGACCAGATAAAGGTGTGGGCAGGTGAGAAACGATGAGACAGCAAGTATGTTGGAAGACTCCCCAGGGTCTGCATAAAAGGCAGGATGCAGCAACTGCTAGAGAGGTCCTAGGTGGAATGTGAAAGATTTTCAGACCACAGGCAGGCTGCAGAGCAAGGAAGTGAGGCAGAAAACCTGAACCAGAGTTGGATTGCAAGGAATGGGAAAGCTCCAATTGCGGATTACATTTATACAGTTACTGTGTTTAGACCTGGCGGGAGATAATTTGCTCATCACGTGGCATGGAGTTGGGATGGGACAGCTGCCTCCCCTCCACCTGACCAGGATGAAGTGGTTGACACAGTTGCTTTTGAACAGCACGCACTCAGGTTGAAAGGCAAATCCACACAAGGTGTTCTGTGGGTAGAGGCTCCCACTTCTTTTTGCAAATTTAGTGGGAAGCATTTTCTAACATTTTGCTGAATATTTGTTTCAATTTTAGCTTTCCTTAGTTCTTCAGTACAAATGCAGTTTTTCCTTATTTTGTTCATTAAGTAGCTCATGTAATATTTGCCTAGGATCTTGCAGGGGGCCTCTTACCGTTGGGTTCAGTACAGTTTGTTCCAAATCCATCTGCTACCTTTATACCACCAAACGCATTAAACTTAAGAAGCTTCCGTAAAGTGGTGAAGAAGCTGGAAGATCTGTATCCAGAGCTTCATAGGCAAGTATACTTTTTAATGGTGGGATTCAGAAGAATTTTTTTACTGAAAGTCTCTGGAGGCTCTCATCTGCTTTTCTCCTTCTCTTTTAGGGACAAAATTTTGGATGCTTTGGTAGAGATAAAAGAAAATAAGGGTTTGCTTAGTGGCTTATCGCTTAGCTCTATTGTGCAAATGACTTCATCACTTCTGGAAAAGAGATTTGGATGTAAATCTGATGGAAAGCAAAAGAAATAAGCAGGTGAGTACCCAAACTACCTTCAAATTCTAATATTGCATACATCTTAGCTTGGCGGATATCTACTGGCCATTTTCTTTTAACATAAATAGAATGTGGCCCTCCAGACCTCTGTCTTACCCCCAGAGCTCTCTCATGGCCACACCTCTCTTCAAGTGCCTCTGTTTGGTCAATGTGTATTCCGGAACTGTGACCAGAATCTCTTGCTTGACCGGATGAGATTTGCATGTAGAAAACTGATTTTTGCATGGCTGGAATGTAGCCTATTATAAAAAACAACAACAGTTGCTTATGTTGCTCAATTCACTCTTCCACTTGCTGGAGCTCCCAGAAAGTTGCTTGTGATGGAATTCAGCCATTGGGCTTATCAGGAACTTGAAAACTTGAACAACCTCTTTATATTCTGCCTTGAATTTTTCTGTTCCATTTCTATTGCTGAGCCATTGCCTTTATTAATTGCTTAGTTATGTCAACAGAAACAGTTTGGTGTAGCACTTCTCACTTTGTAGAAGATTAACGTCATAGAATTGTAGAGTTGGAAGGAACCTTGAGGGTGATCTAGTCCCACCTGCTGCAATGCAGGAATCTCAACTAAACCATCCATGACAGATGACCATGTTTAACTTGTGGTCTGCTAAGACCCCTAGATGGCACACCAGGTGTCTCCCGTCTTATATTTGTGCATCTAGTTCTTCCTGCTTAAGTGCGTAATTGCACATTTGTCCCTATTGAAATTCATTTTGTTTGTTTTGGCCCAGTACCTTCACTTCAGATGGAAAAAAAATTAATCTGGCTTTAGAAAACAAAACGGCAATCGTTTGATATTGTCAGACTCTTAAGGTAGGGAGATAACAAGAAACCCTGCAGATATTGGATTCCTAACACAGACAGGGCACATATACAGTGGTGCCTTGCAAGACGAAAATAATCCGTTCCGCGAGTCTCTTCGTATTGCGGTTTTTTCGTCTTGCGAAGCACGGCTATTAGCGGCTTAGCGGCTATTAACGGCTTAGCGGCTTTAAGAAAAAGGAAACAAACTCGCAAGAACTCGCAAGACTCTTGCGGAACGACTCAAAAAACGGAAAACCCTTTCGTCTAGCGAGTTTTTCGTCTTGCGAGGCATTCGTCTTGCGGGGCACCACTGTATGTGAGATTGTAAGTCACCTAAGGCACCATCCCATAACCTCTGTTTCACAGTTTTGAGGGCAGTATCCTACCCCAGGTGGATAAGAAAAGATGGTGAAAGACCTATGGAAGAGGGCTTACACACCCTGGTTTTTGACCAGGAACTGATGTACTCATTTATCAAATGAGTAGACCATTTCCAAGACCATATACAGTGGTACCTCGCAAGACGAATGCCTCGCAAGACGGAAAACTCGCAAGACGAAAGGGTTTTTGGTTTTTTGAGTTGCTTCGCAAGACGATTTTCCCTATGGGCTTGCTTCGCAAGACGAAAACGTCTTGCAAGTTTGTTTCCTTTTTCTTAAAACCGTTAATACAGTTGCGACTTGACTTCGAGGAGCAACTCATAGCACGTGGTGTGGTAGCCTTTTTTGAGGTTTTTGAAGACTTTTGGTGATTTTTGAAGCTTTTCCAAAACTTTTCCGAAACCGTGCTTCGCAAGACGAAAAAACTCGCGGAACGAATTAATTTCGTCTTGCAAGGCACCACTGTACAGAGTAGACCATTTCCAAGACTATATACACAGACTCTTAGCCAATATTTCAGAGCACTCCACCAGGCCTTAATTGAAAGTGGGCATTCACCAGTTTCCAAAAGAAGTATTTGGTACCTGAAGAAGAATTTGGTACCTGAAGCAGGGACCTCAGAAACTTTTATTGAAATCTATCAAGTTTAGGGAAAGAACCATTATACCAAATATTTGAGGCATAAAGGAATTGTATTACAGATTTTGCACTGAACACTTTTAAAGCTTAGGGAATATACTGACCTTCCTGTGTATGAAACAGAGAATTGCAAGTTTGCTCACCTCTGCTATTTGGGAAATAGCCAATGAGTGTTCCAAGACTGTATGGTGGACAGTAAGCCCTAAATACTCAAAGCTTTTAGTCTGTACAAGTGCATAACCATTGAGGATCCATCTATATGGGGAAAATCTATTTCCAAAAACCATGATTTTTATTTATTTATCTATCACAATTGATTATAAGGTCGCTTTCAAGACACTAATCCGAAAACTTCCTTGGTTGATGTTTTAAGCCAGATTTGGCGCATGAGAGGATCAGCAGTGTCGCCTGTATACAGTGGAAGCGGGGTGCTTCTTGCCCCCAGCTTGGGACACTGTCCATCTGGGCCCATTAGGACTTTCTCTAAGTCATTAAAAAGAGATTAAGCAATAGGGGGACCCCTCTTGACATCATAATTTTGCTAACCCCAACAGATCATATTACCTGCATATTACTATCAATATGTAAAGCTTTATAAGATAGAGGAGACTATTGTCCTCCATCACGAAATGCAACTTTGACCATAATTTGGATTTAGGGATGGAGTCAATGGCAGATTTTAGGTCCACAAAGGCCACATATAGATGGCCTTGGAGTGGTCTAATATATTTGTCTGCTAGGTGTAACAGCACAAGAATAGTGATCGGATGTTGAGTGCAGTCATACCTCGGGTTGAATATGCTTCATGTTGAGCACGTTCGAGTTGCGCTCCGCGGCAACCTGGAAGTAACAAAGCGCGCTACTTCCAGGTTTTGCTGCTTGCGCAGACGCTCAAAATGACGTTACGCGCATGTGCAGAAGCGGTGAAAAGCGACGTGCGCGTGCGCAGACGTGCCGTCACTAGTTACGTTTGCTTCTGGGGCTCCAGAGCGGATCCCGTTTGCATCCCGAGGTACCACCTTCCATGTAGTTTGCATGGAAAGCAGCCTGGGCTTCATAGATTACTGTCCTCCAGAAAAGTTGAGAATTTAATGTAAAGAAAACGGGCATATAATTTCCCATTATGGGACAGTTATTGTTGAACCAGTTATGCCCTGTGAAATTTGCAGTTTGGGCACCTGCATTTACGTTGTTTTATGTCATTTTTTCTAACATGGCCAATTAGTAATGTGCTGCTTAAAGCAAAATTGGCCATATGTTTTTCAGCAAAACATATATTTTACTTTTGCCCCAGCTGGTGGCAGTGTTAAGCAGTGTCTCTTCTACTACGAGTTGGGATAACTGAATGAGAACAGTCTCATTCTGTAGCCCTAATCCTGCTCCTGACATCCTTCCTTAGCTAAGACTGTGTAAACAAGGAGCAAGACTGGAATCTGCTGGTCTGGTCCCAGCAAATGTGGACAGGAGGCTGTCTTGTGCAAGGCTGCTCAGTGACCTGCCAGAGCTCCTGCTTTACTCAGCCCCCTCAGATCAGAATAGAGTTCCTAGCAACGAAGGTTTGTTCGTATTTCCATATAATCTCTTGGGTATTGAACAATTGCTTCTTCACAGTAGAATGCAGATTTCCTTTTTTTAAAAAATAAATGTTGTTGTTGTTTAGTCATTTAGTCGTGTCCCTTGGCTAAGGGAGCTGGGCATGTTTAGCCTGGAGAAGAGGAGGTTAAGGGGTGATATGATAGCCATGTTCAAATATATAAAAGGATGTCACATAGAGGAGGGAGAAAGGCTGTTTTCTGCTGCTCTAGAGAAGCGGACACGGAGCAATGGATCCAAACTACAAGAAAGAAGGTTCCACCTAAACATTAGGAAGAACTTCCTGACAGTAAGAGCTGTTCGACAGTGGAATTTGCTGCCAAGGAGTGTGGTGGAGTCTCCTTCTTTGGAGGTCTTTAAGCAGAGGCTTGACAACCATATGTCAGGAGTGCTCTGATGGTGTTTCCTGCTTGGCAGGGGGTTGGACTCGATGGCCCTTGTGGTCTCTTCCAACTCTATGATTCTATGATTCTATGATTCTATGACTCTTCGTGACCCCATGGACCAGAGCACGCCAGGCACTCCTGTCTTCCACTGCCTCCCGCAGTTTGGTCAGGCTCATGTTTGTAGCTTCGAGAACACTATCCAACCATCTCATCCTCTGTCGTCCCCTTCTCCTAGTGCCCTCCATCTTTCCCAACATCAGGGTCTTTTCCAGGGAGTCTTCTCTTCTCATGAGGTGGCCAAAGTATTGGAGCCTCAAATTCACGATCTGTCCTTCCAGTGAGCACTCAGGTCTGATTTCCTTAAGAATGGATGCGTTTGATCTTCTTGCAGTCCATGGGACTCTCAAGAGTCTCCTCCAGCACCATAATTCAAAAGCATCAATTCTTCGGCGATCAGCCTTCTTTATGGTCCAGCTCTCACTTCCATACATCACTACTGGGAAAACCATGGCTTTAACTATACGGACCTTTGTTGGTAAGGTGATGTCTCTACTTTTTAAGATGTTGTCTAGATTTGCCATCGCCTTTCTCCCAAGGAGCAGGCGTCTTTTAATTTCGTGACTGCTGTCACCATCTGCAGTGATCATGGAGCCCAAGAAAATAAAATCTCTCACTGCCTCCATTTCTTCCCCTTCTATTTGCCAGGAGGTGATGGGACCAGTGGCCATGATCTTCGTTTTTTTGATGTTGAGCTTCAGACCATATTTTGCGCTCTCCTCTTTCACCCTCATTAAAAGGTTCTTTAATTCCTCCTCACTTTCTGCCATCAAGGTTGTGTCATCTGCATATCTGAGGTTGTTGATATTTCTTCCGGCAATCTTAATTCCGGCTTGGGATTCATCCAGCCCAGCCTTTCGCATGATGAATTCTGCATATAAGTTAAATAAGCAGGGGGACAATATACAGCCTTGTCGTACTCCTTTCCCAATTTTGAACCAATCAGTTGTTCCATATCCAGTTCTAACTGTAGCTTCTTGTCCCACATAGAGATTTCTCAGGAGACAGATGAGGTGATCAGGCACTCCCATTTCTTTAAGAACTTGCCATAGTTTGCTGTGGTCGACACAGTCAAAGGCTTTTGCATAGTCAATGAAGCAGAAGTAGATGTCTTTCTGGAACTCTCTAGCTTTCTCCATAATCCAGCGCATGTTTGCAATTTGGTCTCTGGTTCCTCTGCCTCTTCTAAATAAATAACATGTTTAAATTCATCTTCCATTTTTCAAGTGACAACAACTTGCTAGTTTTACAATATTTTTTCTATACATAGTGACTCTGCAGCTGTCTGTGAATCTGAACGTATTTTTTCCAGGTGTGTCTGTCACTGGCATGAATGAAAAGAAAAGCCATCATTGCAGGCCTGAAAAGAGAATGCGCACTCAGTTGAGGAGCTCTAAGTGAATTTAAAGAGGAACGAAATGTTAGTTTATGGAAAACTGAGTTGTTTGGAAAATGTTCCAGCTTTCAAAGATATGCACGTTTGCAAGGAACTGGTGGTCTTCTGCTCTTTTACTCTGCAGTGAACAAAAATCTTTTCCTTAGGTAACTATTAAGCAAAAAGTTTCATCTTTTGTTTTGGTAACCATATTTTGTGTTTGTCAGCTACTGTAATGTGAAACAACTTTAGAAAATAATATGTAATTAAGAATCTGATGTGGCTGAAGTTTGTAGCTGCAGTTTCAATAAACATGTTTGGTTGTAGTAAGGTGTAAGATGTTTGTATTTTAATTGACAAGGCTCATACTGTATTTATTTGACGGGGGGAAAATAAGTGCTTCCCCTTTAAAAAAACAATGTTCATACAAAATCAAATATATTTCACAGATATATCACTTTTTGTAGTCTACACACTGGGAACAATCCAGCAAAAATTAAACATTTTAAACTACCATGATTTCCAATGGGAGAGATAACCGTGCATTCTAACGTCCATTGAAATCAATGAGATTTTAAAGTGAATTTTCTCAGGGCTTCCTTCATGTACGGCTCACATGCTGCTCAACTGGGAGATCTTGCCAACCAGCAGGTCAAAGGTGGCATTCAGCCAAGCTCTACTCAGAGTGGACCCACTGGAATTAGTGGGCCTGACTGAATCAAGCTCATTCCAGTGGGTCTGCGCTGAGTTCAGTTTTGCTGACTGCACCCAAACGTTCCAGGCTTGGTAATCTTCAGTAAGGAGGCAATCACACTCTGGGAATCCACAATCCAGGCATAAGCACAAAGCAGCCATGTCACTTAACCTTCCGGCTCTAGCACTTGAACTACCTTCATGGAATATTCAGCAGCAGCTTACCAGGAATAGGCAGGCTGCTGTGGGAACAGGAGTTTGAAAGGTGCATTCTTGCAGCAGGAGCAACTCCCAGCATCCCTGCCATGGACTGTGCTAGCTGAGGTTGGTGGAGTTGGCTGGACAGCACTGCATGGGCTACCCCAAGGCCTTTCTCCATTCAAATGTTAGGTGGTTTCCCACACAAAGCAACATCTTTTAATTCCTTTTAAAGAAAAAGGTGAAGGAAACTTGGGCGACTCCTTGCCTTCTAAATTCTTCTGCTGCTAGGTTTGAGTTAACCCTTTTTCTCCCAGAAGTCAGTAGTAGGATAAGAAAACTGGGCAGAAAACCATCAGTACACTTCTGATTGCACTCTAAGCAACCACCAATTAAACTTTTATTTTTGAGCTTTAAGCTTCAGATATGATAATGCAGTTTTCTGCCAGGTACTCTTCACCTGTGGGACTGGCTTATGACAGAAAAAGAAATTTATTGTGTAATAATAGCAACTGGCACAAATGTAAACATACCAGGTTTGGGACAGAAACCTTATTACCAATAAGTTTAACGTTTCTAAGGATTTGGTCAAGGGACATTTATTTGGTACATGGGAGCAACACACACCTCTTTGATTTTTTTTAAACTGATGTTTCATATATAGTATATTGAGGAAACTTGTATTTCAAATCTTTTTTTTAAAAAAAGGTGTAAAAAAATAAATAGGTGTTTGAACACAAATAAACTCACACTTAAATGCATGCCTATCAATGCCCCAGGTTTCTGGAACTTGCAGTGAGTGATGAAGTACTGCTTGAGCTGAGATGACAACACTGCAAACACATCCCATAGAGCTAGGATGGACAGGGTGGACAGGAGATTTTGGAAGCATAAAGTCAAAAGTGTTAATATACGGATGAAGACAAACACACAGAAACAGCAACCCATATATGCACAAACTCCCCAGTGTGGACACAACCCTTGTATTCCCTTCTAGGTCTCAGGAAGTGCTTAGTAGAATAATGTATTTGTAATTATGAATCTTTATTGTATGGCTAAACACACACTTCTGTTTACAGTGCATCCAGTGTAATGTACTCCCACTGGGTTGCCAACTGTTGGCAAAAATGGCATTCTAAATGGTTATATTAGAAAGTCACTCAGGTAACAGTTTGTTCCTTTGAACTGGGGAATGCGTGTTTCTGTCTTAATAGCAGGTGCCCAGTTGCTGAAATGCTCTGCACATCGTCATTTGTCTGTGAACTTCAGAGGAATAAAATAGGTACTCCTGGAAGAAAAACTCAGTTTCCGCACAAAACAGTAAAAACTCAGTATCCGCACAAAATATTCAGAACTTTTTGGGTTCGACGTTTGCGAGGGGGCGGGGAAGGTCATCTTCTCGATTCAGGGCGACATTTGTTGCAACCTTCAGGCTTCACTCCCTTTAAACATCCAGCCTGCCGAGGAATTCTGCAGAACTCGAACACCTTGCTCACTGCTTCCTGACAATTAAACCACCTTCCTGCAGTTTTGGATTTCTTTGCTCGCCCGCCGAGCGAGTCCCTTTGCCGAGGTTCCTTTCCCAGGCAACAACTTCAGGTCCTCCTCCTCCTCCTCCTCTGCGCTCCCTTTGCGCACGGGGCTTGCGCCGGGCTCTGCGCCCGCCTTAGCAACCAGGACCTTGCCGGGCGTGGAAGGCGGAGAGGATTTCTTTCAGCTGAGCGATCCACGGGGCGATCCAATCAGAGCTCCCGCTCCCACGTGGCCCCTTCAGCAGCCGATCGCGTTCCGAAGAGAGAGCTCTGCCTCGGGAGAAGGGGAAGGGGATCTGGCCAGACGCGCGAGAGACCTTCTGGCAGGGCTCCTCGGCATGGATCGCGTCGCCCCGTTGCAGTGAAGTCCGCGGGCGTCGGCGGCGAGGCTCCCTCCTCTCGGCCAGCCATGGCTTTGGGGATGGTCGTCCGGCTGAAGCGCTTCGTGTGGCTCCTCCTGGGTGAGTGCTGCTTTGTGCCGATGCGTTTGGAGACGAGGACTTTGCGTAATGGAGGCGCGGGACACCGTAGTAATATGGGGAGAGCTGGGAAGCCTTCCTGCCATAATGTCAGTCGGTCTCCATCTAACAATTCACAGGACCTGCAATGCCCTGAGGGCAAATGACAGTGCCTGTAATGCCGTCCAGGAGATTTCCCACCAAGCGAGGGAGGGTGGGGTGGCTTTGAGACATTTTACTTCCTCAAACCCTTTGGCTGTGATGTGAGCGCGTTGCTGCTTTTGTCCCCTTTAAGTGCTTTGATTGCACAAAATTTACTCTCTTCTATTTGCACCCAGCTTCTGCTTTATTTTCCCACACACGAGTGGGCAGATGTGAGACTTCTGTTAACCCCTGAAGTCAGTAAATCTCCAGCCAGCCAGCAGAGTTGAGGCAGGCTGCATCCCAAGGCAAGCTGGCTAGAAGAGTAACCTTGAGTAGTCAGGAAGAGGGTGTTGGAAACAAGGTTCAAATCCCTCCCTGAGGCAGCCACAGGGAGGGATTTGAACAGATCACCAACACTGCAGACCCTTTCACACATTACACACAACAAATCCAGGTTGGCCACCAGCTGCAGACCTGACAGCCAATCTTTGACCCATATATGTGTGTTTTCCCCCCAGCACTTTAAATTTCTCAGATGAATGCAACCCTTCAATGCCAGTACAAGAATCTGAACATGTATAGAATGCATTTCTATTCCTAAAGTGCACATGGGAATAAGGGACAAGGCTTTTGCCTACGCTGAGTGTGGCGGCTGCCTTGCATCCTTGAGCCACTTGCTTCCTGGAATTGGCTGCATGTAACAGACCATGTTCTATAAATTATAACACTTGTTTGTGCCACCCATGTAAATTCCCTCTTCCTCTGCTCAAACCATTTGCCTGCAGAGCTTTGTTGTTGTTTTATGTCCATCTTTTTCCTTTCCGGGATTTGATTGTATTACAAATCCTCTCTTGCAGCATATAGAAATCAACAGTGAAGGGAAGGTGCCTTGTGCTTTCAAGAAGCTAAGGATTCAGAAACATTGCTAGTATGTTTACATGCATCGTTAGTCTGGGGGCGAGGGATCTGCATCTGGCTGGCAGCTAGATCCCTATCTCCCCTCACCCTGTGTGCCCACCTGTCAATCACCTGACATCAAAATGACATCATATAATTTCTCCTGTACATTTTTATTCCTCAGCTTAAACTTTGTGCAGATGTGTCACTGCTCAAGTTTTCACCTTTCCAGGGAGTTGCTTAAAATGGACAAATATATCAAAAGCAAGCAAAGGTTTAACAGAAATGGCCACTTAAATTATAAGGGATGTACAGAAAAGGAAGGTGAGTGTTGCCTAGTGGGGCTAGTAGGTTAATAGCCATCTTCTTACATGCTCATGGCTTGCTTTGTCCCACAATGTCACTGAGCATGTTTACTGCACAGGTTTTCTTCAGTGTATTGCTCAGGTGTCCTGAGAAGGCTATGCTGTGAGGCAAGGATTTGCACCACTGTGTTTGCCTGTTGCCTGTGGCACTGCAGTCAAGCGTGGTCACCTTTGGTATCACAATTTGCTATTGCAATAATATTATACCAGTGGAATAGATGACCCTGCCTTGCAGTGGAGGGTAAAAGTAAGTGACCTTTCTGCTCCCTTGCAGCGCTATAAGTTTATGTGTTGCCTTATTGGTGACAGTAATGCAAATTATGTTTGGAGAATATGAAGTTGAAACTCTTTCCTTGGAATGGAAATGAAGCAAAGTGTTTCCTGCTTGGCAGGGGGTTGGACTCGATGGCCCTTGTGGTCTCTTCCAACTCTATGATTCTAGGATTCTATGAAAACAGCTGGGTCACTGTAGTCATGCACCAGTCTTCAGCCTGTGGGTCAAAACCCACAAATGGATAGCAAGCAAGGCTATCTCAGGTGGGTTGTAGCAAAGCTGTTGCTGCTCTGCTGGACTCTAGCTAAGGTTGACCAGACCAAAGGATCACAAAATGCAGTGTCTGGGCTGGAACACATTGTTTTGATGAGACACTCATTTCAACAATTTCCATGAATGCTGGCTGCAAAGAGGCAGGAGAAAGGCAATTTTCAGTATTTTTCAGTAAGAAAGACTTTTCTGGCCAACTGTATGCCCCACCTTCCTATAGCTCTCTATGGAGTAAGGACGCTCTGTTCACTTTCTGGTCTGTTTCTCTGGCTTTCTAGACCTCTTCTACAACTGGAAGTATGCTGGGACTATAATGCAGACGTATGCTTTGTAGTGGGTAGAAGGAGGAACGGTCTTCTGTTCTTCAGAGGAGAAGCAGCAATAATTCCCTCCTCCACACGCTAAAATCTACCCCACCACTTAGGAATCAGCACAACATTCTTCCCTTGTAGCTCACCAGAACACAAGCTAAAAAACAAATTTGTGGGAGGGTAT